CCATTTCCATGACCACATTTCTGCATGTGTCCCCTCAGCAATTGGGGGAAGCATTTCTGTAGTTCAAAATAGGTGCTGAAAGTAATCTGAAAATGTGGGGGTAGGTTGAAGTTTTCTACCCTGTGAAAGAATGACTGACTTTCAAGTCAGAATGAGGAAATATTGGTTAAGGAAACAGACAAAATAATGTGGTGTTACCCTGAGGTTTTACTGTGGGGTTCCATGATGAATCAAACCACAAAGTTGAATCATTTGGAAGACTAGCCTCAATGTTCTCAGTGGTGACATGTCTTCCCTTAAGCGAGCTGTTTTTATACCGTGCAACTAATTCGCCTTGACTGAACACTTCACTACCGGGCCTCTTAAAACAATTGTGTTTCCTGGTAGAGAATTGGTGACAAAAGGTGTTTCCAGTAGCTACAGAAAGAGTATTAGGATGGTCCTGCTTTGCAAACTGAAAAGAAAAACATGGGGGGGGGGGGAGAAAAAATAAAAAAACTGAAAAGAATAGCAGAATGTGCCACATTTATTTACATTCAAAAATGGATAACTTTCCACATTTTATCAATATTCACCTTTAATTGTTCAGAAGTGACATCTAGAATGGTTTACTTAAGTTTATAATTAGGAAAATAGTTCAGCATAGCAACTCCACTTTTTTATATATATCAGAGATGGGGAATCTGTGGTCCTCCAGATATTGTTGTATTCCCAACTCCCATCAACTCCAGTCAGCAGGAATGATGGGAGTTTTAGTCCAGCAACACCTGCGGGACCACAGATTCCTCAAACTTGCTCTGCGTAATAAATCCTTTGATACTTTAACTACTTTTACCTATAAACTTTGCCTTTTCCTTAGTTTGTTACACTTCCTCACATTTTTGTACCTCCTCAGTCAGCAGTGACTTAAAAATAGCCACCATCACCACCACCACAAAATGTGTATACTGCTGGATTGTAAAAGCTTCATAGAATTGTGGAGTTGGAAGGAACCCCGAGGGCCATCTAGTCCAACCCACCTCTCGTGAGAGTCAGTTCCATTGTCAAAACAGCTCTCACTGTCAGAAAGTTTTTCCTGAGTTCTGTTGAAATTTCCTTTCTTGTAACTTGAATCCATTGGTTCGGGTCTTAGCCTCTGGAGCAGGAGAAAACAAGCTTGCTCCTTCTTCCATGGGACAGCCATTCAAGACAAGACAGAAGTACCGTTTTGGGGGGACAGGAGGCGGGCGGGTGTGGAGAACTCTCTGGTCCGGAATGGGGTAACTGTGCCCCTGAAGGACTAGGTGTGCAGCCTGGGAGTCATTTTGGACTCGCAGCTGTCCATGGAGGCGCAGGTCAATTCTTTGTTAGATCTGTTAGAGCGGAAAACACCATGGTGGCTGTCACCCACTGACGCATTTTCACTTAAGTCGACCAAAAAAGTAAGCTGGTTGACATATAGAGAGTTGTTAACAGAAGAAGAAGGTAAACTCAAACTAAAAGAGTATGATGAGCTGAAAGACTGTCTACAAAGTTGGTTACACCATAGGCAATTAAATGAAATTTTTTAAGGAAGACAATAAAAAGGGGTTTAGTTATACAATCTCCAGATTTCAAAAAGAAATAGTGGAAGAGAATGTTAAATTGTTTAAAAAAGCATATAGTATTTTATTAGAGTGCGAAACCAAAGATGAAGAGATAAAATCAGTTATGATTTAATGGGGTCAGGATGTGGGACACAACATCCAATTTGAAAATTTGAAAGCTGGGAAAAATTATGGAAAGTTGATATAAAATTCACAGATTGCATACTATTAAGAGAGAATTACATGAAAATGATGTATAGATGGTATATCACACCAGTGAAATGTTTAGGAAAGAAAATAACAGATGTTGCAGATGTAAGGAAAAGGAAGGAACACTTTATCATATGTGGTGGGAATGCCGCCCAGAGTGGCTGGGGAAACTCAGTCAGATGAGCGGGGTATAAATAAATTATTATTATTAATATTATTATTATTATTATTATTATTATTATTATTATTATTATTTGTGCAGGGCAGCTGTTTACCAGCTTCATCTGGTACGCAGGCTGAGACCCTATCTGTCCGTGGACTGCCTCGCCAGAGTGGTGCATGCTTTGGTTATATCTCGCTTGGACTACTGCAATGCGCTCTATGTGGGGCTACCTTTGAAGGTGACCTGGAAACTACAACTAATCCAGAATGCGGCTTCTAGACTGGTGACTGGGAGCGGCCTCCGAGACCACATAACACCGGTCTTGAAAGACCTACATTGGCTCCCAGTACATTTCTGAGCACAATTCAAAGTGTTGGTGCTCACCTTTAAAGCCCTAAACGGCCTCGGTCCAGTATATCTGAAGGAGCGTCTCCACCCCCATCATTCTACCTGGACACTGAGGTCCAGTGCTGAGGGCCTTCTGGCGGTTCCCTCACTGCGAGAAGTGAATTTACACGGAACCAGGCAGAGGGCCTTCTTGGTAGTGGCACCCGCCCTGTGGAACACCCTCCCACCAGATGTCAAAGAGAACAACAACTACCAGACTTTTAGAAGACATGTGAAGGCAGCCCTGTTTAGGGAAGCTTTTAATGTTTGAAAGCATTACGGTATTTTAATATTTTGTTGGAAGCCACCCAGAGTGGCTGGGGAAGCCCAGCCAGATCGGCGAGGTATAAATAATAAATTATTATTGTTGTTATTATTATTCAGATATTTGAAGATGGCTATCATATCTCCTTTCAGTCTCCCCTTTTCCAGGCTAAATATACCCAGTTCCCTCAACTATTCTTCATAAGGCTTGGCTTCCAGACCCTTTTTTATCTTGGTTGCCCTCCTCTGCACACGTTCCAGCTTGTCAATGTCCTTCTTAAACTGTGGTGCCCAGAACTGGACACAGTACTGTAGCTGTGGTACTATTATTTCCCTTGGATGAGACACTATATTTCTGTTGATACAGCCTAGATTAGCTTTTTTTGCTGCTGTATCACACTGTTGACCCACTTTAATCTTGTGGTCTACTAAGACCCCTAGATCCTTTTCACACGTACCACTGGCAATCCAGTTGTCCCCATCTGTCTTCTGTGTAAAAATCATGAAGATCTATATGAATTTTTGTCTCTGACCCATATTTGTGCACCATTTTTGCTGGAAACCTCCAGATCCATGGTGTTTATGGTTTAGTCAATGGAGTAAGATGTGCCCTGTGATATGATGGTTGGGAGTGGGGGACCAGTGGAAAAAATGTGCAATTTCAAGAGCATCTGGTTTACTGGATCTGATTTGTATGAGAGCACCCTTCTTTTCATCTTCTGATGAAGGGGGCACTGAGTATGCTGAGGCTACAATAACTTTGCAGCATTGAAGGAAGTCCTCAGGAGTACCATGTTGATCAAGAGCACCATGCTGGTGACCTGCGAAACGTATTTTATATTTTTAAAAGACATAATGATGCCTCTCCTGCTTTCTAACTTGCATGGAGTGTGGTGAGATGGATATTGTGGAGAAGGTATCTTGTGAAGAAAGTGTATGACATGACTCTCTGCATCTCTTAGTCCAGTGGAGGCTTACGGTATTGACTTGTGTATGCTCACCCTCCTGCTGAAGCAAGAACATTTGAAAGCCTTATCATGCAAAAAAAAAAAAAGTAGCGCCACCAGAACATCTACTATTCCTCTCTCACATGTATCATTTCACAAGCAACGTTTGATTTGGAAAGTTGAAATTTCCCCAAGGATTTTAAATTCAAAATCATGTTGCATTTACTCAATGACAAGCTGATGCTGACATTTCCTTCTTAACTTTGTCGGCGTCAAAGAAAACTGTGTACCTTGATCTCCAAATTGCAGACCTAGGCCAGAGCCTTCCTTCCTAAAATGCATGCACAAATTATTTATAGATATTAATTTACATTGCATTCTGGTAGGAAAGTGAATTCTACATAAAGAGAGAAAAGGCATTCTTTGTTTTTATTTCCAATAAACATAAAACTATATTGACTTGCATCAGGAGCACTTTGTTTTGTTAACCTTTCTCAAGCTGGCATGCAGCTGCTCTCTTTTAAAAGTGCATGGCTTGGCCACTGCTGATTTACCTTGCATAGAAGCTGTAAACTAAGCAGGGGATCACAGTCATTACCAAACGAGTTTTTATAGGAGCTTCCAAATGTTTAATATTCCCCTTTTTCATGAATGGATGTAATTTAGACATTACATGACCCTATTTCAATATTGCTGCAAATCTCCCAAGTTAGTATGCTGGGAATAATTAAGGCTTGTTGATGTTTTTTCTAAGCACTGAAGGCGCCACTTAACTTTGGAATTGGCCCAAGTTCTCAGTAAAGGAACACTTCAAAAGTTAGTCAGAGTTCAGTCCTCTGAATCAGCAAATCCAAGAATATGCCTTATAAAGTTATGCTGGAGGGAGGAGAAAACATATTTAAAAAATAAAACATTCAGAAAGGTTTTAATGCTTTTCTACTTCTACTTTTAATGCTTATGTGGAATTAAATCACTGGATGTATTCGTGGTCTCGTTTTGTTTAACGTTTTGTTAGACTCCAGATGGCATAATTTAGTGTTCGGTATTGGTGTTTATTTTCAAAACTGAAGTCATTTGTTGAAACATGAATCATGCCAGAGATCAGTTGTTTAATAATTGCCTCATCGAGCGGATGTTTACAAAGAAAAGGTGAATCTGAGGGGGAGTGTTTCACCCTAATTGGAATACGGTCCATATGCCAATATATAAAGTAGATTCTAATTGTTTTTAAGTGTCAATCTTTCACTGTGTGCATATATGAAATATACATCAAATTTTATTTTTTAAACATCAGCTATAAACATAATCTTTCCAATAAGGTAAGTGTAAATGAGATGTGAAAATCCATCCGATAACTTTAATAATGTTAAATGTGTATTGTCCAGCTTGCCAAAGAGTAATGCCTTAACTCTACTCGTACCATTATATTTACACCAGATTTATTGTAGTTGTTTTCTTTTTCAGGGCCAAATCTTTTCGTGGGAAAAAGGTCCATGGGGAATATGACATTAAAGTTGAACAGGTATCAATTTAAGAATTTCATTTCATTTTTACATACACTATTTTTTCCATATTTCTGTTTGTTACTATTTATTTATTTATATATCTATTTATCTATTTACATGATTTGTATACCATCCTTAGCATGATCACAGGGTGGTTAACAAAATCAAATAAGAATTTTTAAAAATCCATAAATCGCACAATCCTTAAAATATACAACTCAGTTCATAACTGTTCATTGGATAGCAATTGACTAATAGCAACAGCAGCAACTAATCCATTCATATGCTCAGGTCTCTCCTTCAAACACCTGCTGAAAAAGGTGCTTCTAACCAGCTGCCTAAACTGCAAAGTGTTGAGGCTGGACATCTCAGTAGGGAATTCCACATGTGAAGAGCCTCCACTAAAAAGGCCCTTTTCTGGGCCACCACACCATGTACATCATTCTGCGATGGGACCACCAAGAGGGCCTCATCTACCAATCTTAGAGCATGAGCAGGCTAACATGGAAGAAGTTGGAAGTTGGGCTTGCGGAGGTTTGGGTGCAAGACCGTTAAGGGCTTTAAATGTCAAAGCAAGCACATTGAGTTGGGCCCAGAAAACAAGTGGCAATCATTTTCACTGTTTTAATATGGGAGTAATATGCTTACAGCCTGCTGCTCTCACCACCATACTTGCTGCAGCTTTTTGCACTAGTTGCAGTTGCTGCCTTCAGGGACAGCTGCCCATAAAGTGCATAACAGTAGTCCAGTTTGGAGGTTGCCAGACCATAAATAGCTATGGCCAGGTTATACCTATCTAGATGGGGCCGTAGTATGCTCACCGAGCCAGGGGTAGATGCTCCTAGGCACCAAGGTCACCTGGCTGGCCTCAAGTGACAATGATGGTTCCCAAATTATGCACCTGCTCCTCCAAGGGGAGAGCAAGAAATTCTACTAACTCCCAGACACAGCTCCTGCCCACCCATGGCACATACGTCTTGTCTGGATTCAGCTTCAGTTTTGACCCCTAGTCAGCCCATTGCTACCTCCACTCTGCCTCTCTTGGTACCAATGGAACAGAGAGACAGAGCTTACTGCAAAACGTCTGATGATTGCTCCCAGTGGTTTCCTAAATAACAACTTGTGTCATGTGTTGTTAAAATACAGTACTCGGTTTGTTGAAGAAAGAGCACATGAATATCACTTGGAAATCTGTCAGGACTATAGTGAAATTACACATATACTTTTATATAAAACCAGTATAAATGCAGGCTACAGAAACTCTGCACAGCTGGTAGATCCATGACTTTCTTCTGAAGTTGTACAGTGACTAGTATCAGCCTGAAAGTTAGTTCTTATAGCAACATATTATAGAAGGTGCTCAAGAGGAGCCAGCACTGATCTCCTATTAATCCAGAATTGTTTCCCCCCAAGTGCACGATAACCATTTCACCTTATTTTTAAACCACACATTTGTACTTGATATGTGGTAAAAATTCTTCTTATCGTTTGGCAAAATAACAGGATACCCTGGAGACAGAATGATTTGATCAACTGTATTGATTTAAAGATAGTGTTTTTTTCTGGACACATACTGTTTCTGGCTTTCACCTGAAAAATATTTCCAGGAGTGGGATAGGATTCTAAACAGGATTGCTAACTTGTGCCTTAAGAAAAGAACTCTTGTAGCAATGTCTAGCAACTTCTTCTGGCACACTCCTCAATGAAGGGAGAAGTTTCACATGTCCAAAGTCTTCCTTCCTTCAGATGACAGAGATAGGAGCATTAACCCTAAGTAGAGTAACAGCTTAATTAAATACGCGAAGAAGAATTTAATCTGACACTATTGATTATGGAGGTTCTTTTTTTCTTTTCTTACAGGCACAGTTTTCAGAGGTCAATTTGATAGCTCATGCTGATGGCAATTATGCTGTTGACATGCAGGCATTCCGAAATGGCACTAAAGTTGTTAGGTAAGTTGATTCCCCCCCCCTCATAAAAACTGAAATTAACTTAAAGCAGTCGAAAACTACCATATTGCTAAAACCAACAATGTTCTTTGGAATTATTAAATTAGATCAGCATTTAGCCAGAGGCGAAACTAGGCTTTATTCCACCTTGGTCAAATGACCCTGTTTGCCCTCACCCACCCACATGCATTTGCTTACACACACACATAGGCTGGCAGCCTCAATAGCACCCCTCTAGAGGCTTCACCTGGGACAGGCAAGCAAGCAAGCAAGCAAGCCCCCCCCCCCGGTAGCTATGACTGATTTAGCAAACTCTGTTTTTATCGCTTTGTAACTTGTAAAGCAAAAGAACAACTCTTAAAAGCAATGAGACATAGCAATGAAATTAGCTTTGGACAAATTTATTTTTCAAATGATAAAAATATTTTCTGAAACTGTTTATTCCTTTGGTTAGGGTATTTGACTCATGTTGCTTGTTTCTTTAAAGGTGATTTAGTATTTGTGGAAGCTTACCTTCAATACTATTCAAAACCTCCTGTCTTTGCAGAACTGATGATTCATTATAATAAAAAAATTCATTCCAGTAGCACCTTAGAGACCAACTAAGTTTGTTATTGGTATGAGCTTTCGTGTGCATGCACACTTCTTCAGATACACTGAAACAGAAGTCACCGGACCCTTATATATACTACGGCAGACCAACACGGCTACCTACCTGTAACTACCATTAAAATAAAGTCATATATACTGTACTAAGAAGGGTTTATTAGGTGTTGCCCCTGTTCCTTTGAAATAAATAGGAGAGGGAAGGAACCCCACAAATAACAAATGGTGCTGTGATGCACCAGTGATTAATACTTACAAAGGGCTCATTGCAGGGAGTTGGACTAGAAGACTCTCGGGAACCCTTCCAACCCTACAGTTTTATGATTCTATGATTCACTGCTCCTGGAGGGATCCCCATACCAGAATCTTATTCTTCCCATTATTCTTCCCTTTCCCGCTTGGAGCATACATATCATGATGCCAAGGTATTATTGGAAGGCAGTTAGTTCAGCTGGTTAAAGTGTGGTGCTGATAATGCCAAGGTTGTGGGTTCAGTTCCCATGTGGGCCAGCTGCATATTCCTGCATTGCAGCTTTACATTTCTGTGACATGTGAGCCTCTGTGAACAACACTCTGAATAGTGCTTTCATTTCTGCTGCAATGGGACATGGGGAAGCTAGGGCTCTGGCATGACCTGTGTGAATCTTTCCTTGCATCAGGGTTATTTATGCCTGCAATACAGCTAGACCAAGCCCATAGTAATTCAAAAGGCTAGCAAATATTTCTGCTGATTAAATGTTATATTAAATTACTAAACTGTGCATGAGCTGTAAATATAATCAGGGAGGAACAATGTATTGATTTATAAAGATATTGCAGAACATATCTAAAAAATGATGGGTGAAAAAGGTTTTATTTTTTTATTTTTAAAAAAGCTTATTTGAAATTCAGTTGCACTCCCAAGGATTTCTGCTTCAGAATTGATTCACATGCACTTCTGTGGTATAGCTGATGCTTCCATGTGATTGGGATCCCATACCATAATTGCAATGTCTGAAATTAGGAAACAAATAGCGGTCATAGAGGATGCGGTTAACTGCCATTTCTGGCATTGTCTTTTTCTAGGGGGCAGCAGCAGTGAAGTATTTTTGGCAGCTGCCCAACTCACCTGGTTTCTCATTCCAGATGTAACTACTCTGATGTGAATTTTTTGAGATCTAGGAAATAGAGTACAATAGAGTTGCTTTGCCCATGAATAACAAGAGGAGGGATCAGAGCCATAAGTTTCTTCCTGCACACTGAGAAGTCTAATTGGGAAGCCCATTGCAAAGGATTGAAATGAAAGCAAGGCATGTCTCTCAATATCACAAATGTTAGAAAATCACTCTATATCATAATTCACTGATTCTCAGCCCACTTGTGCTGGCATCAGTAACCTGGCAGGAATGTGTGCTGACCTAATAAGAGGGGAAATGACTATATTGCTTGTAAGAGGAGAAAGGGCTCAGTAGCACTCAGATGCTCCAAAAAGCTACCATATTATAGGGTATCTTTTAAAATTTTAAAAGATGATGCTGTTAAGGTGCTTCACTCAATATGCCAGCAAATTTGGAAAACTCAGCAGTGGCCAGAGGATTGGAGAAGATCAGTCTACATCCCAATCCCCAAGAAGTGCAGTGTCAAAGAATGCTCTAACTGCCGCACAATTGCACTCATTTCACACGCTAGCAAGGTTATGCTTAAAATTCTACAAGGCAGGCTTAAGCAGTATGTGGACCGAGAACTCCCAGAAGTGCAAGCTGGATTTCAAAGCGGCAGAGGAACCAGAGACCAAATTGCAAACATGCGCTGAATTATGGAGAAAGCTAGGGAGTTCCAGAAAGACATCTACTTCTGCTTCATTGACTATGCAAAAGCCTTTGACTGTGTTGACCACAGCAAACTATGGCAAGTTCTTAAAGAAATGGGAGTGCCTGATCACCTCATCTGTCTCCTGAGAAATCTCTATGTGGGACAAGAAGCTACAGTTAGAACTGGATATGGAACAACTGATTGGTTCAAAATTGGGAAAGGAGTACGGCAAGGCTGTATATTGTCTCCCTGCTTATTTAACTTATATGCAGAATTCATCATGCGAAAGGCTGGGCTGGATGAATCCCAAGCCGGAATTAAGATCGCCAGAAGAAATATCAACAACCTCAGATATGCAGATGATACAACCTTGATGGCAGAAAGTGAAGAGGAACCTTTTAATGAGGGTGGAAGAGGAGAGCGCAAAATATGGTCTGAAGCTCAACATAAAAAAACCGAAGATCATGGCCACTGGGCCCATCACCTCCTGGCAAATAGAAGGGGAAGAAATGGAGGCAGTGAGAGATTTCACTTTCTTGGGCTCCATGATCACTGCAGATGGTGACAGCAGTCACGAAATTAAAAGTCGCCTGCTCCTTGGGAGAAAGGCGATGGCAAACCTAGACAGCATCTTAAAAAGTAGAGACATCACCTTGCCAACAAAGGTCCGTATAGTTAAAGCCATGGTTTTCCCATAGTGATGTATGGAAGTGAGAGCTGGACCATAAAGAAGGCTGATCGCTGAAGAATTGATGCTTTTGAATTATGGTGCTGGAGGAGACTCTTGAGAGTCCCATGGACTGCAAGAAGATCAAACGCATCCATTCTTAAGGAAATCAGCCCTGAGTGCTCATTGGAAGGAAAGATCCTGAAGCTGAGGCTCCAATACTTTGGCCACCTGATGAGAAGAGAAGACTCCCTGGAAAAGACCCTGATGTTGGGAAAGATGGAGGGCACAAGGAGAAGGGGATGACAGAGGACGAGATGGTTGGACAGTGTTCTCGAAGCCACAAACATGAGTCTGACCAAACTGCGGGAGGCAGTGGAAGACAGGAGTGCCTTACGTGCTCTGGTCCATGGGGTCACGAAGAGTCAGAAACGACTAAACGACTAAACAACAACATTATAGGGTAGCCTGCCATCTTGTATCTCTATCTCCTTGCTCTAACATTCAACCTTCTTTTATCTATTTGTTGTCTCCTAACATCCTATATTTTGTGCTCCTAATTCTCATACCTTATCGCCTCAGTCCTGGCACTTATTTCCAACAATCCCAAGATGTTTTCTGCTTCTTTCTTAATAACTGTAGTTTATAGGTACAGAGTGCTTTACTCAATACTGCCCTACAGGTGATTGCCCCAGTGTCCCAGGCAATAAAAGTTATTTTGATTGTTCTTTTATTTTCATATAGGTGTTGGCTTTTCCCTCTAAGTAATATGGTACATTAGGAACAAATATCAAAGATATGGTTTTCAGTGAGCATGCAGTTGCTAGATCAGAGCTGCATCACTATAGATTATAAGAGATGTCACTTGGGTAGACCAGCTATAGCTGGGGAATCTGGAGCTTCTTCACTTGGATGTGCACCCTAGTCTTAAGCATACTTAGTCAGAAGAAACTCCCATTGATTTCAGTGGGCTTGCTTCCAAGTGAGCATGAATAGGACCACAGCTTTAGTAACACAAATCACTGAAAGAAGAACATTGGGTTTATGGGGAGGGGGGAATCCCCTGGCTTTCAGTGCAAAACGTTTCATATGAAAAAAATATAGTAACCTTTGTTCTCTTACATTCTCTTATGTTTGTATTACTTTCATTTATAAGAAAAATAGCTTATGGAAGAAGCGTTTAAATTCTCTTATTCTCCTTAGATCATTCAGGCCCGACTTCGTTCTTGTTCGACAACACTCGTTCGGCATGGCAGAAAATGAAGACTTCCGTAACTTAATCATCGGGATGCATTATGCTGGCATCCCAAGCGTTAACTCCCTAGAGTCAATCTTCAACTTCTGTGACAAGCCCTGGGTGGTAAGTTGACAGAAATTCCAGAGTTCAAAGACAACGGTTGCTTTGAATTGGAAGGTTGGAGAAATGGAAGGAGCCATTTTGCGTGATGCATGACAAATCTGGCCATCTAGATTTTTAAAAACATTGTTAACCCTATATCAGTCCAATGGTGGGCTCATTAATTGCCCTAACAGCTATAATTTTAATTTCTCATGTGAAAATACAAAACACTTTTACTGTGTGCTGTTTTGTTCCTTTATTACGTTTTTTTTGTCTTTACTCTAAAGAGTTCAAGGTGGTGTACATGTTCACATCTTCCTGCCCCCTGGCTAATTTTTATCTATTTAAAAAAATATGAGGTGGGTTGGACGAGTAGAGGTTTGAACATGTGCCTGTCTAGTCTGAGTCCAACATGCAAACGATTACACCACATTTGCTCCAAGTGGCAGTCTGTTTGTAGCCAAAATAGCGCCATTAGTGCAGAAGAGAGAGTGATCAGAAGGTTTTGGGGGCACCCCAAGGTTTGCAGAAATACAAACATTTTAAGGAGGTACAAAAGCTTAAAGGGCATCATCCTCCTCCTCCTCCTCTACACCCCCCATAAAAAGCCATCCCATTAAGGGCTGCACATGCTCAGTGGCCACATAATGCTCAGTGGATGATGTGACTGGAGGTGGGGAATGGGAGTAAACGGGAGTGAAGGAGAATAGAATTGAATAGAACTGAGCATCTTGGAATGGGACATGGCTGTCTGAAACCCTGAATGAGAACACTCCACACTACATGTGTGCAGATCCCACTGGTAGATATTATCAACACAAATTGCACCTGCTGTGTGTAGAGCCCTCATCTTTCTCAATTTTGTTACATCTTCCTACTGCTCTTCCTTGAGGTCTCTGTGTGTGCATGCTGTAGTGCCCATAGAATCACTTCTGCAATCAGAAAGTTAATGTGAGGTGATAAGCTTTTTAGGATGCCTTTGCCTTAGAGCAAGCTCTTTAAAATGCTGGCATTAAGGACAAAACCAGTTATACTTGAATTCGGCATTTTTCTTCCTTAGGCTTCTCAGTCTTGACATTCCTGCTATTGTTTTAAAAGGTTGCTAGTATTTGGGACTAGCCATGCATGCCCTTATTATTTAAAACCAGGATGCCTTTATCTTTCTTCACCCAGCCCTTTGCATAAGAAACTGGCTTTATAGATTTACAACATAAAATTGAAGAGCTGGAACATGCCAGTCTGAATGAAAGCATAAATGTCTGAGTGTTGAGCTGGTAGGATGGGTTTATGCTATAAAATTTACTACCAGCTTGTCAGTTATGAATAAATTTATCATTTATCACATTTTATGAAATCATGTTTTACTGAATGGCTGGGTAGGTCCTTTTTAGAGATACGACATGCGGAAGTTCTAATATTTTTTGTCACGTTTTAGCAACAGATTTTGGCTCTTTAAAATGCATTTATTTATTTATACCCCACCTTTTCTCATAGGAGCTCCAAGTGGTCTCCACCCCCAACCACCACCCTATCCTTGCAATAACCCTTTGAGGTCTGTTAAGCTTAGAGATCACTGGGACGCGGGTGGCGCTGTGGTCTAAACCACTGAGCCTAGGGCTTGCTGATCAGAAGGTCGGCGGTTCGAATCCCTGTGACGGGGTGACCTCCTGTTTCTCATTCCCAGCTCTTGCCAACCTAGCAGTTCGAAAGCACGTCAAAGTGCAAGTAGATAAATAGGTACCACTCTGGCGGGAAGGTCAACGGCATTTCCGTATGCTGCTCTGGTTTTGCCAGAAGCGGCTCAGTCATGCTGGCCACATGACCCGGAAAAATTGTCTGCAGACAAACGTCAGCTCCCTCAGCCAGTAAAGCGAGATGAGCGCCGCAACCCCAGAGTCATTCATGACAGGACTTAACTGTCAGGGGTCCTTTACCTTTAAGCTTAGAGATAGTGATCAGCCCATTATGAGCTTCATACATGAGTGAAGATTTCAACCTGGGTCTCCTTTTTGATAGGGATCTTTGCTTTCTGTCTGGGGGTTTTTTTGGGGGGGCGCGTTCCAAGCATCAACAATTTGGGGGGGGCGCGTTCCAAGCATCAACCTATTTATCTACTTGCACCCTTACGTGCAAGTAGATAAATAGGTACCGCTTTATAGCGGGAAGGTAAACGGCGTTTCTGTGTGCTGCGCTGGTGCTGGCTCGCCAGAGCAGCTTTGTCATGCTGGCCACGTGACCCGGAAGTGTCTCCGGACAGCGCTGGCCCCCGGCCTCTTAAGTGAGATGGGCGCACAACCCTAGAGTCGGACACGACTGGCCCGTACGGGCAGGGGTACCTTTACCTTTACCTTTAAGCTCATTTTATTCAAAAGCCGTAAGAGCTGGCTGAGTATCCCACCAAGATAATGACTGAGAAGGGGTTCACATATAACCTTTCATCCCATAGAGCATCAAAGTATGTAAAAGAGTAACCAAAATGATCAGGGAGCTGGAGCAACACCTCTACATGAAAAGGATAAAACATCGGCAACTGTTTTATTGGGAGCCAGGGGGAAGCAACTAAGGAGGAACATGCTAAACATATGTAATGATATTATTCATGGTACAGAGAAGGTGGATAGAGAGAAATTGTTGTCTGCTGCTTCCAGGACCAGAGGCAGTCCTCCCATAAGGGATTCCCAAGTTCATTCTGCACTCTCCTTTTGTATTTGGAAGGAGTTTCCCACTAGTCCAGTTTCCCACTCAGATTGAAGCTGCAACTGCAGTTCTGCTGTCTCTTCCTTTTTTTTTTTTTTTATAAAATTTTTATTGGTTTTAGAAACTTTTTTAAACAAAAAACAAACAAACACCAAAAATGACAAACATACACGTATAGTTTCAAACATATTTTCATAAACCTCTTTCCTTTGACTTCCCCATACCCCCCCTCTATGCATCCCAGTGTCCCTAGTTCAACTAGCAACTCCCAATTGTTATTTTCCGATCTCTGTCCTCTTAGTCCTTTTTTATATTTCTAACCTTATATCCCTGTATCCCTTTGTTTCTAGAAACCACAACATTTTAGCATTCATTAAGATTGTAGTAGTCCTTAAGATAGCTTTTAAATTTTTTCCATTCTTCTTCCACCGTCTCTTTTCGTTGGTCACGGATTCTGCCTGTCATCTCGGCCAATGTCATATAGTCCATCACTTTCATCTGCCATTCTTCCAGAGTGGGTAGATCTTGAGTCTTCCAATACTTTGCGATGAGTATTCTTGCTGCTGTTGTAGCGTACATAAAGAAAGTTCTATCCCTCTTTGTCACCGATTGGCCAACAATGCCCAAGAGAAAGGCCTCTGGTTTGTTCTGCTGTCTCTTCCTCCCTCCTGCAGCAGTCTGAGAGAGACTCCATTGGAAAGTTCTGTGCTCATTTTTGTGTGTGGAAGCAAGACATGAGGCCATTTCCCATTTAGGTGTATATTAGGGAGAGAAATGTCCTATTCTGTTTCATGGCACATGCTTATATTTAAATGCACGTGAATAAAACTAAAATAGTAAGACTGTTATTATCTAAGTCTCTAATTATAGCATTAGCATTCACTGTACCCTGTACCTAGGGATTTCACTCAAAGCTACAATGTTCCACTCTTAGGATAACAAAATATATCTTGCACATTCTTTTATTATCAAATGAAAGAGCTCTCTTGCCAAGTGCTTACTGTTATCTGTACAAAGCATTGGTGGTACACATAAAGATTTCAGCTGACAATCCCTTCCTCTCACTCGAGAAAAGCTCTTTAATAGATGAAAAGACAGCTTTTATATGAGAAAGGTAAGAATACAAAGTGCTAGCAATACAAAGAAAATGCACTAAGGACAAGAATTCTCACAGTAAAATCTATGAAGACATTGAACTATCAAGCAGTCATCTTCGTACATCATAGAATCACAGTGATCCATTTCCCCAAAGAAAAAGTAGCTAGATGGTTGCAAACAGAACCAAATATGTTTAATTCCTCCCCCCGCTGCCCCATTTTTCTTCCCTGTTATTTTTATACTTAAAAACAAATCACATAGATAACATCACTCGAACTGAATAATATTCAAATGAATCACATTCATTTTCTTTTTTGATCAAAGAACAGATGTTATAAAATCTCTTGTGCTAGAAATTTTCTGAAGTATAAGCGTAGATGTTTCTGGTATATGTTATTGTTGTTTCTTATAAACGTCAGATGTTTAGTTACCAGGTAAAACACAATTACCATAACATTATCCCATATTGATATGTGTTATTTTTTCTTTATTACCACACATACAGTTGAAATGAAAATAGCTCTAGAGGGGACTTGAAATACTAGTTATTAGCTTGAAAAGATCTTCTCATTCTGGTTTCCCACCATTTTATGGACTATGCCATATTTAAAATTGATTCAGAGTCCTAAGTTGCTAGTGCTGTTTCTTCCTGTTAATTTCTTGAAGTGACAAATCTTTAATTTCTGCTTATCATTCATGTTTTGTGTCATTGTGCATCCAGCTGAACTATGCGGGCTGGCGGCAGAAAATTGTCTGTTGGAGGCTCAACATTTTTGTTAATGGAGAATTAAGTGTGTGATTAGCGCATAGCACGATCCTCAACTCCAGTGTTGCTGTGGCTCTGGAGGGTTGTTGATTCTGCTGAGAGAAGTCCCACAAAGATAGCTGCTGTGATTACAAGACTGAGTCAAGGATGTTGTTGTTGCAACTGAGATTTCATAGTTGAAGACTGGAAATGAGGGCATATGGAATTATGTTCTCCTTCATAGGTGTGGCTTGTATGAGAATTGCCTTAAAAACCTGTTGAATGGCTGGTGGTTTTGCAATCTTATAAAACAATCCCATAGGAAAAATGCACTGAAATTCTCCTCTTTGGAACCCCGATTCTAAATTCTTCTACATTGGGGTGAGAAATTAGGTCCAGGATGGGTCCTGGTTTGGCCTATGACGCCACTGTCAACCAAGCATGCCCAGCTGCCCCACACCTGAACATTGGTACTTAAAGTGAGCTTTCAATTGTTCCATGGTAAGCAGAACTGTGACAGGGTGCCCCACTGGGATGAGCTGCACTATATAAAATCTGTGCAGAAGTGTGTCAGATGAGCAATGCTAAATACCCAGTGCTGATATCCAGTGCACATTTCTAAATTTAAGTGCCATTAATTTAATGTGGGATAATCAGTGCTGGAGAAATTTGAAAGGGCTTCCTAGATCGGAGGTATCCCTCACAGAAACCCCAAAGGAAATGATACAGGCTCCAAGTAAAAAGAATAGGCCTTTATTGAATACAAATATACTTATGGTCAGGCTCCTTAAAAATCATAGAGAGGCCACAAAGAGCTGTGTCCAAAGCAATGATTCTTATACACTCCCAGGTTACACATGTGATTTACATTCACCATTCAAAGAATCACAGCAGTCTTTCCATAGCGGTTGCAACCCAGTGTCATCATCCTGAACCAATCAAAATCATTTAGCTCCTCATTGTAATATCAGTCAATTACATATAATCATTTTTCGGTGTCTTTCTTTATTAAGACTTTGACTAATTTCCCTGTTCACTAAATGTCTCCCAATATCCTTTTTTATCTATCTACAAAACAATTCAAGATTAAGCATAACTGCCATGACTAGTTGATTCTCTTTTCATGCGTATGGCGGTCACCATGGATTCTATCAGTTTATTCTTTTCTGTGTTCCAAAACGAACATTCACTAAATACAGTACTTAAAAACAGCTTGTTCTATACTGTAAAAAGTAGGCACAGGCCTTTTTAGTTTAGCTAGGCCATAGGCTCAAAAGAAAATGAAATTGCCAAAACAATACAGGTGTATGAAATTATTATTTTCTCCATCATTTGCACTTGCATATTTTACTTTTTATGCATTCTTTTTCTGTAGGTGGGTAATCAGAATATGGTAAACTAGAAGGGATGTTTTAACAGGCTCTTGAATTTTTGATAGATAGTAATTATGGTGCTGAATAAAAGTGCTGAAGTAATTTTGAGCTTTGAGCTTAGAATTCTGTTTATTTTCTTTTGCAGTTTGCTCAGTTGGTGTCCATCTACAGAACCTTGGGACCAGAGAAGTTCCCTTTAATTGAGCAAACCTTTTATCCCAATCACAAGGAAATGGTAGGTGTGAATAACAAACATAAATACCAGTTGATTCTCTGCAGTAGGGAAAGGAGCTATAATAATGCATGATTCACATTATAGCTCTGCCCACCAGCTATTACTTGATATCAAATGCTACTTAAAAGTTGGTTTCATCCAACAGACCTTAACTTGGTTAACTACCCAGCTGAAATATCTAAAGTTCTGGAAATGGGGAAAACATTATTTAACAGACTTTAAAAATAAACCATTAGAAACATTGAAATGAAAGATGTACTTTCCGGAGAAGAATTCAACGCAGCTGTCACTGACTCATCCTCAAATGCTGTTGTGGTTTTTGAGTGCATTTGATTCATGGATTGCTGTTAACAATTGGTTTCTGTGATTATACACATGTTCAGCTTTATACTAACAAGCATTTCTCCTCTCACTTTCAAATATGCCATCTAGTATGTGATAAAATAATGGACTACTGGAAAGGAAGCCTGGAGTGGCTTCCCACATCCTCTTATTTCTCCAGACCAATGAATGTAGTGGTTTGAATGTGTGTAGGAAGGATATTTTAGGATGAGAGTGTCATTCTGGGAGAAATCTTTCCCCATCCCATCTTAGTTGAGATAACAAAAGAAAACCACTGCTGGGCAGGAAACAAACAAGCAAACAAAAAAAATGGGTGGACCTAAGCAACCAAAAATTAGTAGCCACCAGGAGAGTGTTCAGACTTGCATCTGAAACTCAGTGCAACACCAGGAAAATCACCCACTCTCTTCCATACCTCCAAGTTTGGACCTGGGAAAAGGAAATTTGTTCCTGATTGTGCTGCAGAGGAAGCCCAAGCCCCGTTCCCCAGACTGAAGAGGGGTGGGATGATCCTGCACCAGTGGCGTAGCGTGGGTTGTCAGCACCCGGGGCAAGGCAAGTAATTTGCGCCCCCTAACCCGTGGATTTGCGCCCCCTAACCCTAACCCCCAGATGTTGCACCTGGTGCGGCCGGCCCCCCCTGTACCCCCCACGCTACGCCACTGTCCTGCACAGCTAGGAAGCCTTGGGAACCTTGTGCAGTTGTAGGGACAATTGCTGCCACCGCAGCTCTGAACTTGTTTTGTTGAGCTGTGAGTGTCTCAGAAGTGAACCAGCAAAAACAACAAACACCCACTGTCCTTTTTCAGTTCTGGAATGGAAAGCTGGGGCTTGTTTGGCACTGTATTTCTGTAAGCAAGTCCCAAATTTCCACCCAACCTAGAAGCTGGAGACAAGCATGGGGATCATCCAAAGAAATCTGTGGACCTCTGAATCGCAACACAACTGCGAGGATGATCCTTGCCCAGTTCCATTGATGGAGGGAAGTGTGTGGTTCGTCATGCTTGCCAGAGAGTTGTGGTACACGAACCACAGTAGGACTACTGAGCTGAATTGCAGTTTGAGGAAGTCATTGTTGACTTTAGACAGATAGAGAACAGTCTGTGTTGGTATCAGGTGGTACTATTTTGAAAAGCCTGCTATAGAATAGTTGCTATGCACTGGAAGAGTAGCATTGTTAAATGTTAAATTGTTAAATGTACAGTACAGGAATCACAAACTGGAAAATACAAAATTTGCTGTGTGGGTGGTTGAAACACCATTTCATACTGCAAGTGCTTGTTTTTTCCCCCTCCTCCAGCTCTGGCAGATTCAATGATGGTGTTTTTCCCCCCAAAGAGTACAAGAGAAGCAGAATGAGGAGCACTTTACAGATACACTCTGTTACTGTGGTGTTTGCTCTGAAATATAAATGACAAATACATAATCCTGAGTGTTTAGGAAAACATGTCTTGCCCTTTATATGCCATATATTTAATCTGAATCTCCTCGGAATTTGGGCTGTGTTGGAAAGATTGCTAGCTTCTCTAATTTGTATTCTTAACATGTCTCTCACTTGCCTTCGAGCAAATGAGGTAGGCTTTGGAAAATCCTCTGCTATAGCCAGAAATTTCTAGTTAACAATAGGTAATACAAGTTCTGTATTCATGAACTCCTAAGGCTGCAAGCCTAATCTCACTTACCTGGGAGTAAGGCCTATTGAATTTAATAGGGCTTACTTCTGGATAGTATTACACTGTAGATTACATACCTGGGTGTTTCCCAACAGCATATGGGCTAGAAACTTGCATTTGAATGAATTTGTAGATTCTTCTAAAAAAGTACATGACAGAATATGCCTAGCCCTTTCTATTGATTCAAAATATTTTATTATTAAACAATGCAGGCCTTTAAAAAATTCTACACCATAAAAAGTGATTTGTAGCACAGTCCTAGATATGTTTACTTGGAAGTATGGCTCCTTAAATTCAGTGCAACTTCCCAGTAAAAATGCATTCTAATACATATTATAGGTAAATATGTATTAGAATGCATTTTTACTGGGAAGTTGCACTGAATTTAAGGAGCCATAAGTCCCTCTGAGCATAGTGTGGCTAACTTCTGCATAAACATACATAGGATTACACTATGTGTTCAGGATTGCAATGCTAGTTGAGTTTGGTTTTCTGATGTTTACCTGACATTCCTGAGTCTGAAATATTCCCTTACAAGATAGTAAAAGAATGTGTGTCCTCTTTTCTATGCCAACACCACAAAGTCATGATAGCTCAATAAAATTATTTTGCTGGCTGATAAAATGTCTGATTAATATTCTGTATGATATATGAATATAAACATGACCATGGTTCTTCATCTGCACATGTATTATTTTATTATGGACATTTCACATAAGCAGTGATGACTGTAAATTTGAAGATTCTTCCTGTTGTGATTCTTTTTCTCTGAGGGAGACTTTGTAAAGGCAGTGACTTGGAAAACAGTTGATGCAGAATGACAGATAGATTTTGCAGTTTCTGTGAAAAGCTTAGCTACTGTTGTGGGATGATCCAGAGAGAGGGAGAGGGGAATTGTCACTAGTAATGTTGGAGCCAAACCACAGTACTTAAAGACGTTGTCTAGGCAGATTTTTTTTGTGATGCTTCAAGAGTTTCTCACAGTTCCCTTCCCCTCCACAACTTGCTGTTCAGAATTTTATACCAGAGTATTCTGAGGCTCTAAGTTTAAAGCTGGTCAATCAGATATACTTGTATTCCTTTAGAAAAGTCTTGTGTTCTGTTTTCCCTCTAAAAAGCTGTAAACTGCAATTGCACAAAGATAGCACTCTTCTTAACTGCTTCAGTAGATGGCTTTTAAAAATTAGCATTTTTTAGTTTTAAATGCTTATTGCTGCTAGGATAAAAGCTTAGCAATTTCCTTGATGTATTTTCGCATTTACCTAAGGAAATCAGCAGTTACAAATTGACCCATTCTGCAGATTGAAATAATAGATGAGGAAATGTTGGGATTTATTTTTCAAGGAAATTACATTACTTGCTTTGAAGTACCTCCTATCTACTATGTAATTTATGGGATTAAAAAGTCACATGCATGATACAGCAGAATATGCTTGCTATATTTAGTCTTACACTGAATAACTTGTTTCACACAAAAAACCATATATAAATGTTGATCAAAAATCCATTTTGGAAAATGAAAGATATTTTTTTCAGAAAAAATAATGTGAGTTATATGCTTATTGAAGCCAATGTTTCAGTGCCAAATAGCTTAGAATAAAAACTTGTGCTACTATATATATATATATATATATATATATATATATATTCATTTTCTATGGAGTCACATTTCTGGGAATTGTTGTGGTACAACAAAAAAGTTGACTTCTACATTCTGCAAAAACTATAGCATATTCAGCTGTTTAAACATTGTTTTAGGAAGTAGATATCCTTCATAACATGTTTCTACATAACAGTATGGTCCTAAGCATGTTTACTGAGTAGTAAGTCCCATTGTATCCTAAAAGGTGCCTGGGGCTGCAGCACATGGATCTGTCCCACTGCCTCATAATGCAATTTGCAAAACAGGTGGAGAACAGTGGCATCTCCACTGGATTATGAAATAGTCAGAGATGCTCATGGTCAAGGGAGAACACTGTTCCTGCTTCCTCTTTTATGGTGTATCTATAGAAACAAATTTATGAGCTGGGGTGAATGCATAGGTCATAGGAAGTTGTTTTATACTGAATCAGACCATTGGTCCATCTAGCTCAGCGTTGTGTACTCTGGCTGGTAACATCTCTGTACCGTATCATGCAGGAGCCTTTGCTTAGCTGCCTCTGGATGCTGGGGGTTGAACCTGGGACCTTTTGCATGCAGGGCAGATGTTGTCTTACTGAGCTGCAGTCTGTGCAAATTCTGCTGTAAAACGGTGGTGGACAGAAAATAGGTATCAATAATTAGGAACTACAAGCAGGTCAGTGGCCAGATCACCATCAAGGGATATCATTAGAAGGTTAGCACCTCTTTAATCGCCTGCTTCAGAAGTTAGGACCCGAACCAGTCGCTTCAAGTTACAAGACAAGAGATTCTGGCTAAACGCCAGGAAGAACTTTCTGACGGTAAGGGCTGTTCTACAGTGAAACAGACTCTCTCAGGAGGCTGTGGATACTCTTTCATTGGAGGTTTTTAGCAGAGGTTGTATGGCCACCTGTCATGGATGCTTTAGTTGAGATTACTGCATTGGGTATGCAGTATGGGTATGTAGATGAGACTGGGTATTCCTTACAGTTCTAAGATTCTATGAATGTAGAACTATTTTGCATGAAGAAACCAGGAAATTGCATACTCAGTAGAGGCCGTTATACCTGAGCTGTCCTTGATTTGTCCCATCATATTTCAAAATACTTAAGTTCCAGGCACTGCATCTAGACATCTATAATTATTGAAGTAGTGATGATCATGATACTTTCACCCCATGTGTGAGGCCACAGCATATCATCCTAGCTTTGTGTTTCAGTCTAAGGTAAAGGTTCTCAAACTCTAGCGAGCCTCCTCTGGAAATGCCCTACAATACTTCAAGAGGCACTTGCATTTCATGCCCTAGGATCAATTCATCCATCTTTCTCTTTTGCCCGTGTTTTGTTCCCTTCATTTTGCTTGTTT